GTTTTCGTGCATATCTCCTTGAGCTATTCGCATAATCGAGTTTTTGAATTCCTGCGCAAACCTCGGCACACAAAGAAGTCGTTTGATCCACGTGGTTCCCTTCTAAGTCTGCACGCATGCACAACGCAAAACTGCCTGTTGTTGTGGTATATGCTCCGTTCGCTTCGAAATAACAAAAACCACCTAAACCATTTCGAGGCGAGCGAAACATATACTGTCGAGTTCTCTATGAGCTCATTTATCAACTACCACTTCAGCTAAGCCCTCGAGACCTATATCGATGACTTGGATCAGCTCCATATTTTTGCCGAACCCATCTCCGCGTGGTATGAAATTATATAATTTCATAATAAAATTCGGCACTAAAAATTATTTTCCAATAAAATAATAATAATAATAACATCATCGAATATTTCATAATAAATTCTCGGAATTTACGATTCTGGATTTCATATAACTAGACGCAACAACAGAGATATTCCAGCACTATGTCTCCACCCTCAGTCGGTACTACCATCGCCGAGAATGCAAACATCCAACTGGTGACACCCAACCCCGAAGCCACCACTGGTAGTACAGCTAACCCTACCATATACGGCAAACCTGATGAACAGATGAAAAATAACAAAAAATAAATAAAAAATAAAAATAGAAAAATTAAAATATGAATAAAAATGAAAAAAAAACAGAAAGCAGATACCCAATTTCCATGTACAGTCTCGCGTAACGTAGCTCATGTCGCGATTCGATCAACCAGGAGAGGAGTCGCGCGTATTTAAGGTCAGTTCGGGACGTAGGGCTCTTTTCACATGCTCACTAGAAAACCTACAAAACTTCTTCATCATCGTCACCGACACACGATCCCACACTGGGGAGTAGACACTTCCATAAGGCTGTCGAGTTTTTTTCCGAGGCAACAAAAAATGAGAACTTTTTTCCCAGGTAAATTTCTCCCTCACCACTAAAAACTGATATAAACTTTTCGCTTTAGTATATTCTAAGTTGATAACATCACATGATCAAATTTTCAGAATTTTCCCGAGAAAAAAATAACATTTCCAATACGCATTTTCCCCTTGTTACACATAGCTGCAGTCTTATGACCAGTGTCATCATCCAGTGGGAACATCTTATACCCCGCAGCTGAGTAGTCGGATCTATATAACCACGCTAATGCGTAGAAGTGAGGGAATTGCCATAACGTTTGTAACTAAACGTGAAAACGAGAAAATCAACTACTTCAACTCTCCAATGTGGCACGGGCGGCGCATGTGAGGGCTTGTCCTTATTTAGGAGATCTCCTGTGATAGTACACAAAGCTGATGCTATTGAGCTGTCCCTCTAGCGCCCCCACGCTATAGTTCTATAGAACTCCATACTACTAAGCTCACGGAACAAGTTTGTATTTCCGCTAATCCTTTATGTCGTTGAGTTCTCAGCTGACACGCATGGAAACCACAGAAATCAACTTTAGTCAGTCTTCGCATTGAGTCTGCCCAATTCAAAATGATGTGACGATTTTGTGTTTCCAGGTCTCCTCTGAGGAAAATCTTCTATTTTTACAATAGAAAAGTTCATCTCGCGAAAACTAT